ATATATATATATATATATATATATATATATATATATATATATATATGTTCATTTTGCTCAAATCGCTACGCTTGTGTCGACGCTGGTTGTTCGGCTTTGACGGGACGACTGTTCTGTTTCGTCCACTCCAGGGACTTTCGTCCCTTCATTTTCTGGATTCTCTTTCACAAATTTTCGCGCGTGTGACTTGTCGATTTTCCGAGTTCATGGCGACATCGATTGGCATTAAGGATACCCCATGCCATGGGGGCAGGTTCCTCACTGTTGCTAGGCGGTATTGTCGTTGTTTGCTTGCTTCGGAAATGATTAGCGCTTTGCATACGGGTAGTATAATTAATGATAAATTATTTCTGCTTTGTTCGCTACGTGATACTCCTTGTGATTCTGACGAAGGCTGTTTTCTGTTCAGCCACGCGGACTTCACGTTATCTTCGCGTCAGTTGGTCAATTTTGAGGTGATCCACATGTAGTATGTCACCGTCATCATCTACCTCATCATCATGTACACAATATGAAGTGCGATAGTGAATTGTGTGTCGCATGCGCTCGTCACGAAGCTCACTCCCACTCTTTTCGTTCCGACGAGACTCGAGGGGGGCTTTCATTGAAGTGGTGTCACAGGAGCAAGGACGTCACTGTCGCAGTGTGACGATGATTATAGTTGTCAAACTATGTTAACACGCAGCTTGTGTTTATAGTTTTGTCTTTTTTGTATGTTCAGAATTCAAGATTCAACTGTCGCTTCTAGTCGCTCGGTTCAGCATGGGTATGTGTATATTGAATCTTTTCTTCCGCGCATTTTCAGCTCACAGCCTTCTTTTGTATCGCCTTTTCTCATTTGTGTGCGAGTGTGTATAGAATGCCTTACCACTATTTATCTGCCAGATTATTATGTCATTATCATATGTATATATATAAATATATCATATATGCAAATATATGTATTTGTAGCGCTATCGGAATCGATCCGATTCTCGATGATCACTCAGGGCAAAAACAGCACACGTGCGAGTCGCTCGGACATGGACGGGTCCAGATGCCTTTGGGCGGCACGGCCTTTAACGGCGCCTGCAGTGGGGTGCCGTATCATGAACAAACATCAAGCATCACCCCAGCAGTCCACACACACACAGACACACACTCACTCACTCACACAATCATACACACGCAAACACCCATCGTAACTTTCTGTCGAACAGAAGGAGGCGGTCCTGCAGAAAAGGCAATTGCCTTATTGAGGTTAACCGGTGCTATTGCGACTTCGCTATCCAATGGCGGTGATGGACAATGATGTCGGGTTAAATCCTCTGCATAATTACCAACTGCAAATATAGCGCGATTACACTCATCGCCATCACCGCCACAGCCGGTGCACCACCGCAAACGGTTCGACGCCAAGGCGGGCGTCATGATCATGTTATAGCGAGCTGCACTGTTGAGCACTACCGATTAGTTACGGATACATGTTTGCTCCACTCTATTGTTTATGGTAATATATATATATATATATATATATATATATATATATATATATATGTTTTGGTTAGATGTATATATGGAGAAAGAGGTATTTATAAATATATTTCTACTGATGCTGCTTTCCCTTCTTGGCGGTACGTCGCAGAGCCGGCAAACGTTCATCGTCCGCATCGGCGGCAGAGAGAGGAACGGTTCAGTGTAGCTGTTCGCTGCCGCCGGCGCGGCTGTCCATATATAGGTGCGAGTTAATCAGCCGATATAGTCTCCAGCATCAATTAGTGAGTCAACGAATAATTGCCATCGATAATTGAATTAGTGTAACGGATTCGCGCTACGGCAGGCTGGCTGGCTTCCATTACAGTTGTTGTCTCATCATTTGCTTCATTTACCGGCTGCTGCCGCTGCTGTCGCTGCTGCTGCTGCCGCCGCCGCCGCCGCCGCTGCTGCTGCCGCTGCTGCTGCTGCTGCTGTGGCCCATCGTGTTGACGTTGTTGTGCATACATTTTAACCAGAATAAATTATAGGTGTTTCGTCACGTTATGAATAGTTTGGTAACGTTGGTTTACTGCACGATGACGTCATCCCTCCGTTTGTCTCGAAGGATGTTGAACAGCATGGCAATTGACGTTATTGTAATACTATTATTATAGTGGTCTGTGGCGACTCCATAAAACTGTGGGGTCGTTAGCGTTGTCTGATCTATATATATATATATATATATATATATATATATATATATATATATATATATAGTCTCCCATTACTTCGACAGGGATCATGTGCGGAAATAGGTCTAGGTGTAATACATTGATTTATTTATGAATAATACTTGCATGTTTTAGGTTTACGTTGTTGTCATTGTCACTGTTAACCCGTAGCTGTCCGCTAGTGTGCAGTGATGATCCATTATCTGGGCTGTAACGCTTGTTGGTTTATTATTCGCGCGCTATGACTGACCACTGCGGGCGGTATATGGCCATCCAACTCTGCTCGTCAACGACGTGTGATCGCGGTGTCGAGACCAACAACAGCCGAGTGTATTTACTACTCAGTATAAAGAATATGCTCAAAATCGTCATCGATACTAACGTAGTCTCTCGCCAAACCAGCACGCTAATAGCATCATTGTTAGCCGGCTGCCGCATCTGTATATATAGATATATATGTGTGGTTGTGACAATATGCTCAGTGCATCTCATATACTTCTTATTCGTATCGGTACATACAGAAAATGTTGAATACATATGATTACATACACGTACAATGTTTATATTAACAGTAGTAGAAGTAATGGAGTGGATCCATCGGCTTTCTCAGAGCGTATAATTCATACACGTGTTATTAGTAGTATTGTCATCGCTATGATGAGTGTGTGGCATACACCGTTTTTACTTGCAAGTACGATTCTAGTAGTAGAAGTAATACTCGAGATTCTTTTGGTCTTTGGATATTGGACGTTCGATACGAGCTATTGTTACTTCGTTGTATATTAGTTGCTTTCACGTTTGTTGTTACCGTTCCTGTCGCTGACGTTTGCTTGATGTCAACGGTGTTACTGTCAGCGATTATGAGCATCTGTGTTTTTCAGCCGTCCACAAATGGGACCGCATCTGTGATCGACACAGAGATTCTGCAGTTTACTTTTGTTTTTTTTGACTGTTTTGTGCTGCTGCTGCTGCTGCTGCTGCTGTCGACGTTGACGTTGGTGTCGTTACGTAACGTCATTTCTCTTTTGGTTTCGTTGTCTGTGGAGTTTGCTGCTGGAAATAATCGCTCGGTACTTCATTGTAAGTATTCGCTTGTTTGTTTGTTTGTTTTCACTTGATCTTAAATTCTTCAAGCCTGTTGGTGTTGAATGCATAAATGTTACTTGTCAGGTGTTGTTCGTAACATGTTATTGTTGTTGTTGTTGTTGTTGTTGTTGTCGTTGTCGATTTGATGTTCGTCCGCTTGGAGCCTTGGCCCGCGAACTGCCGTCCGGCGTGGTGGCTTCCCTGCCCCGACGTCTTGGCCGCCCTCGGGGCGTTATGGAGCTTTAGTGAAGGCAGGCTATCGACGACCGGGGCCACCTCGGATGGCCACCATCCTCCGGACCCGGCAGGTTCTCAGCAGGGCTCGACATTGAGAAGGTGACATGTCGTTGTCATGTATTTTATTCATTATTGTTGAGTTGATTGAATTGATTGATTGATTGATTGATTGATTGATTTGTATTGAGTTGAATTGTTCAGTATAGTTTTAGTAGTAGTAGTAGCAGTCGTTTTGTAGTTAGTTCACTGTTCAGTTAGTTAATAGTATAGTTATATTAGTTGCGGAGAGATTGAGTATAGATGATAATATATTGAGTTAGTTAGCTAATTTTTGTAGTTACCGTCGTAGAGTGATATTGTTTTTGTTATTAGTACAGAGTGTGTTGTTTACTCGCCGTCATAATAGGGAGAGATACCGTTCAGTAATGTTCAGTTGTTGTCTGAATAACAATAATAAATACAGTCATTGTATGATAGTAACAGTACAAGTTCAGTGATGGTTGTTTATAATTAAATGTTCATGCAATTATAATTGTACTAATGTAATTATTTTTTTTTATTGTTATGATAATTATTACGATGCATGTAACTAATAATCAGTAATTGTCTAGTTGTATTGTAATTACAGTACTGGTAATGTTTCTCCTCGCCATCATGTTTATATTTTCCTGTATATACTATCTGTATAATCGATATTTACTTGATCATTGATCGTTGCTATCTTTGATTATTGATGCAATGTTTTTTTTTTCGTTTCTGTTTGAAAATGTTCTTTTCATCGTTTTGATGTCCCGGTCTGTGTCGCGGAGAGGCCTAATGTCAATTGGAAAAATGAATTTCCTGTTAGAGACTGCTATTATGCTAGATCTATCTGATTCGAGAGGATGCTTTTGGTAAGGTTTAGATCTCTTTGTAAACAAACGACACAATTAGGAATTAGGTTATAGGGACACCCATGGAACTTTTTGGACAAACATTACATTGTGGCCGAATTGGTTTCTTTACTCGGTGAGAGACTATAGATAAATAACCTAGCGATTGCTATGAGTTTCAATACCAGTCAAAGTAATAGGCAATTTTTCATGTTATTTCTAGCCAGTTGCGAAGCAAACAATTCCGTACGTTTTTTTGCCAACTTGTCTCTTAGTGATCGGTTTGCCAGACTATAACATTCATACGATTGCACCAAAATTAAGTTATATCGAAATCGAGCTTTGGATTTTGGTTGTTTCCAAGCTTGCTGTATGTTGGCTTTGATAATTTTTTCAAAACTTTTCACCAGTGCATCTTCCCTACCCATTCACCGCAGACGCTACCGTACATAAACGGTGCCTGAGGCGAAAATGAGGATCAGACGAACGATCTGCTATGGTTTTGTTACGTGGCTGATTTTGTTCGCGTTTAAATATTGTTTTTACGGTGTTTTTTTTTTCTGATTTGTTATTAATTTCTGTTTCGTCTTTGCACTCTATTTTTTTACTTAATTTGTGTAATTTCTGTAGATGTTTTGCTTTCGGTTGGTATTCCCTATTTTTGAGAGCTATTGCGTTTCATCGTTATTCTATTGATTGTCTTGATTTTTTTTTACTGACTCATTTTCGTAGAAAGTTTACCAGTTTGCAGTTGTTATTATTACTATTATTGTTATGTTATTGTTATTGTTGGATTGTTTGTCTTTTGATGAATCGGTTAGTCAGTCCGTGCGGGGCAGACCGTTCCGGCCACTGGGCCAGGCCCTCTTTGCGCAGCGAGAGGCGGTGACCCAACTCGTCTAGTGCCTACTGGTGGCTATAGGGAATTCGAACACACCATCATTATTAATTGCCATTGAGGCGGCCAAGGCGAGCAGAGCCCCCGCGAGCGCCTAGGGGGCCACTCGCCAAGCATATCGGGCTTGCAGAGCACAAGAACTTACTCACGTAGTCAGAAGAAATACATAGAAATATAAATATATAGATTACAGATAGAAGAGAAATAGTGCACGGTAATTTCATATCGATGCTCTGTCTCGCCGCAGGGATCAACGACTGATCGACTTGTGTTTCATGAAAAAATCCTTGATCAGTTTCTTTCTAGGATTCTGAATTGGGGGCCGTACGCAAGGACAGAGTCCAAAAACTATTTGGTCCTGTAATTCACAATTAATTCTTTTCTATTTTTCATGTCTACTGATCGGTTTGAATACTATCGCCGACCTCATAGATGTTGAAAGAGGTACTGGGGATAGCCCTGGAGTTATGGGGTGATCAACTGTAGAGAAACCTGCAGATGCCCCTGAGGATACTTCGGGGCTAGCGCGCAGACCATTGGCGATCATGCACCAGGCCACTACATACCCCGATTGACAGTTTGCTCATGATCAATCAAGGGACGGCTTTATGTCGTCGCTATCATTATTAGCGGCGCACGTGTCATAAACTCCCGAGATCTAGTTAACCGATTTGTTCAGTACGGAATGTTTATATCGAGTGATTATTAACTGACATTTGAACCAGATCGACCGGATCCTCAATCACCGGCCGTCGTTGTCTCACAGTCGTTCATCCCGGGGAGCGGCTCAAAGCGAGATTAGCGGTTTTTTGTCCTTCTTAATGGAACATCTCTTCTTCAGGTGGTTTCCTCACCCAGCGCCCTCTATCTAGTTTCAGGAATCTGTCGAACAGCACTTTCTTGGCGGTCTGGTAGGCGTCAGCACTCTGCTTCGTTTCGCCGTACGTTTTGCCGATGAGGTCCTGGCGACCGAACTGCTCGGCGACGTCCTTGAATAGGTTGAACAGCGAGGCCTTGGACACGCGCGACTCGAGATTGGTACCGCTACGGTCCTGGCGCATGCCCGTGCCAGAGTTGGTTACTTCGGGCCGTTCATCGCCTACACACCAGTTGATCGAATATGGTTTCGTTTTTTCGGTGTCACGTGGCGGATTATGTCCTGACACGCAGCCCAAGATCGGATGTTGCAGCGAAAACAGTGGGGGTAGCTGTGAGTTTAACGAGGGCTCCCCCTCCAGGCGACAACACACGGCCCTCGAGAGATGACCGTGATGATAGAGGTTCCCGAGCGTAATGGAGGATAAGTACACAGGCTGTAAGAAGTGTGAGAGCAGGCCACCTTGCATGCCCAGCACATTCCAACGGGCGATCTTATCGGAGCAGCTCATCGTGCGTAGTCGTTCCCCTTGCAAGATGGCGTCCCACGTTTGATAATCGGTACTCACGTCCACGGGTACAGTCCCTTCGCCTGCTTCCAGTTTGGTACGAAGGAGACCTTGACAGCTCTTCGTGAAGAGCGGATGGTGCGCGCTAGAAGCGTCCTCTCCACATTGCTTGTTCTTGTCATCTGGTTTGGTGGTGTGCGCGAACAGAGCACCGTCTCCACAAGGCGCCGTTGAGATATACAAATGGAACGACACCTGCGGTTTGATGCGGAGACTGGGCCCTCCCTGGGTCGGGTTATCGACAGGCTCGAGGATCGGATGGTCTTCCCCTGTCTTATAGCCTTTCAGCTGCTGATAGAGGAAACGCAGGAAGCTTCTGCGAGTGATAACCTCGGCATGCGAGTCGTTGACGACCGTGCCGTCCTGGCTAAGTTGTTCGCCAGTAATACAGCGAGATCCTGTGCCGAAGCACACCACCGTCCCTCGCTTATCGGTCTGAGCGCAGCGCATGATGAGCGCCGCAAGCACTTTGCGCCCGCCAACGTATTCAGGTACTTCCAACACCTTCTGCGAGAACTCTCGATGGCCCAACGCGGCGATTATGTCAAACATCGGTATGCTATCATCAGTTGAGGAAAGGATGTCGGTCTCCGGTGAGGGCACGTCGGATGCAAGCGCCCCAGAGGCAACCAACTTTCGGAAAGCGAGTTCTGCGGCTTGGTGTTTCGCTTCCTTTTTTGTCTTGTCCCATGCTTCTGCTACTGGCTTCTTGTCGAGGAACGCCACAGCCTTAAAACGCGGATTGTGTGGAGGGCCATCCGTTGCGACGATGTCGATTTTCGCCTCGACATGCTGCATCTGTCCAAACTCGTGGAACGCGCTCACGGGGTTCTTCGTGAGGGACGCATAGCTGGGGAATTTCGAGATCGATTGTGGTCCCGGCGTGGAGGCGGGCGGACCCGAATTGCCGGACCCAGTGTTGCTTTGTCCACCGCCAGCGGCTGTTTGACCGGGATGTGCGCCGGCACCAGGGTGAGCCCCGGCTCCTCCGCCCGATCCGCTGCCGCCCCCGCCGCCGGAGTGGATCGCGTGGCCTTGTGCATGCTGATGGCCAGCCTGAGCGCTACTTGCTGGCGGCTGCCCATTGGCGGTTAGTGCGCCAGCGGCTTGGTGCTGATGATCAATGGCGCCTCCTCCAGCGCCTCCGCCACCGCCAGCTCCGCCGGGACCACCGCCCCCAGCGCCCGCCTGCGCTTGCTGCTGCGCCACAACTTGCTGAGTCGTGGCCTGCAACGGGTGGGCGCCGGCCGCGACTGCGGCTGCGGCGGCGGCGACGTGCGCATGGGCAGCGGCTGCTGCTACCGCGTGCTGGTGCTCGGCGAGAGCATGGCTATGGCCAGCGTGAGCGCCGTGCCCACCCGGCCCCCCGTGTCCATGCCCCCCGCCGCCATGGCCGCCGTGTGACGCTGCGTGAGCCGCATGGGCTACATGGGCGGCCGCCTGTTGGGCCTGGGCGGCCTGCTGCGCCTGTTGTTGTGCTGCTGCCTGTTGAGCTGCCAGCGCGGCGGCGGCAGCTGCGGCTTGCATCTGCTGCGCCTGCTGCATCATGTGCAGCTGTTGCGGCCCGATGTGGCCACCGTTTGCTGCGGCGGCTGCCGCGTACGCGGCCGCTGCCATTTCCACCGTCTGGCTCATCACCTGCTGCGTTATCTTCACATTCGGAAAACACACACCTGCCAAATAGTAATAACAACAATAGCAGACAAATGAGCTAAGGAGAACAATAAAGAACAAACTAAAAAAGAGACAAAGAAAGGTAAAGGCAAATAAACAAGTAAATGAAAATAATGATCACAAAAATGGCGATGTGATTAAGGGGAACCAAGACGTAAAGATTTCTGATTCATATGTGGATATTATATTTCGATATATGTACCCTTCTCTAATAATATAGCAAATTTTCGTTCAAAGTATATACGATAAACATTTTTTAGGTTACTTATTTCAGCAATCTTTCATTCAGTTTCTCATCAATCAAGTTAGTATTAATGTCCAGTGCAACCCACTCATAATGCTTCCATAACAGCATACATAACAAAGCTTCCATAAACTTTTCATAAATTTCTCTCCAGAATTAAAAAACAAACGAATTTTGACAAAGATCATTAGGTCGTATTGGCAAACATTGGCAGGAACGTAAAAGACAGACGGGACAACAGCACCCGCTCTTCCCTAATCGCTATGATTACGATACCTGGAGGTAGCATCACTGGGATGCCAGTTGCCTGTTGCTGCTGAATCAACATCTGAGCGAATGCCTGATTGAGGCGTAGGATCTCCGCCTGCTGCGGGCTGAGTGTCGTCTGCTGACGCGCCATCTTCGTCATTTTAGCGTTCTGTTTGCGGCCGAGTAGCTCTTGCTGAGCAAGCAGATGTTGTGCGGGCAGGGGACCCAAGTGGGCGGGCAGACCAGGGACCCCGGGAACGCCGGGCACTCCGGGAACGCCGGGTACCCCGGGGACGCCGGGCAGTCCGGGAACACCGGAGGTCGCCACGCCTCCGACCACGCCCCCCACGCCAGCGCCTGGTACTCCGGGAACTCCGGGCACTCCGGGTACGGGGCCACCAGGCGGTACGGAGGGGATCACTGCTGCAGCACCGGGAGGGGCCGGTAGCGCGGGATACTCATTCGTCTGTCCGTTCTCCTCGTACGAGGGCGCCGCAGGGAGCTCAGCCTAAATATGAAGGACATGAATCACAAAGACAAAGGAAGCGGAGCGAAAAAGTGTTACAACGATTGGCGGAATACACGAGTGTTCCTGATACGGAAAGATACCTTGAGCGAAAATGCTCAATAAGGTCTCAGACGAAAAAAACGTACCCGAAGTAAGCGAAATATTCAAGCGAAAGCCGAAATGCCGTGCTATTGGTTGCGGCCAAATGTCAAGAAAAAATACTTGCACTACACGTCGGTTCTTTTTAATACATAACCGAAACCTATCAAAAGAAACGACAGACACATCTGTATTTGCGGCACGAGTCCCATTTGATAACTTGCTATTATAATAGACTAGGGTCATTGTGAGCGTTTTAATGTGCATAAACTCTATTCGTGTTTTTTCGATGACTTAATCGACTACGTGCTATACTGACTTGTTTCTTGTTATTGAGACTCCTTTCGATGCCCTGCAAGTCAGCCAGGTTGCCTCCTGGCACGAGAGTCCACGCCGGTGGAGTGTCCCACACCTTCGAGAGCACTCCCCGGTCCTGCAGCCGATAAAGGATCGGATTTATTTCGCGCTTGTGTTTGAGACCGAGCGCCTTCACGAGATCCTTCGTGTAGACTGGCGCGCCAATGGCCGCCAGGTGATTGATCAACAAAGCGGTTAGGTCGTTCTGCAGAATGTTGTTGTTCGCACCGCCCCCGCCAGAGCCTCCGTTCTGCGATGAAGCGCTTCCGTTACCCTTCACTGAAGTTCCGGAGGACATGAAGGTGCCAAGAAATAGAATAGATTGGATCGAAATATGCAAGATATGTTATAGATATAACTCAAGTGAAACAGTTCAAGGAGAGGTCTTTAAAGGACCTTTATCACTGCTATGTGAAGAGTATCCAGAAGGTCATTTGTGAGATACAAATATCATAAACTCGAAAGTCACGCCATCTTACCTCGCTACATTTTTGAACCTACATGTGTGAGTCACAAATCATCGCCGCTATCAGGGTTATTTTTTTTTCATTGTGCTGCACAATCGCAGTGACTACATACGTACGAATTCATCATATTCAAAAAAGTTTTGGGCGTCTAGAGTTCCCGCAGGGTTTATCAGTCAGCTAAGTTGAAAACGCGCCACTTTCAGTTAGGTCTGAGTCTGTTTGAATCTTAGAACCCGAACAAATCTTTGACACGACCCAACGACATCCAAACAAATAGCTCAGCTCGAAGCTTTATTCGACGGATAGTTTCCCTTTATACGACATATTCAAACAGCAGTAACTTCTGAGTATTCTCTGAGGCTACGATGTTCAATTGCAAACTAATACAATCACTAGTAAAGACAAATATGCTATTATTTATCTTCTTTACTAGGTCGGTCCAAATGCAATGGCGCGCTAGTTGATGAATGTCTGTTTTTCATCCTCTTGCATATCGGTCGACCCCATACGGACTGGGCTCTTCGAGTCAACGGTAAGCTGACTAACATCGACAATGATCGCAGTACGAAAAGAAGTACATTTGGTGGCAAAGATCTCCTAATACCTATCTTTGTCTACTTTCTGATGACAGAACTGTTACAGCCTGCTGATCATTGAGATACTAGAACGATACTATCGTAACAACCGATATTACATGACAGACAGTGGCTAGTTGGCTCAAGACCTAAATGCTCGTCGGTTTACTAGACGTGTAGTGTTCTCTTCAAAAAGAAAACTGCAAGGAATATAAAAAGTGTCGTGTTTTTTTTTGTCTTTTTCAGATTCCACAGTTCGGAGCACGTCGTCACCCGGCGATGCCGTTCGAATAACTGTTCTGGGGTATTTGCGAAACGCGGTTTGACCTCACAAATTAAGATTGCTTCTTCTTCTTTATTGAGACAGGAAACTAGGGCTGAGTAGTGCTTACATGTTCTTAGTGGATGATAATCGTTTGAGTGAACCGAAGGTGCTATATATTCACAAATTTTTATCACAAATTATGGCTCTGAAAATGGTTCGCTTGAACTAAATAGATCTGGAAAATTTTAACAGACTTTTTCGATTGTTTACTATAAAATATACAACTCCAGTCACTAGGCGATTAAGTCGAACAAAGGTTTGAACCTTTGAACGAAGGCCAGGTCGCTAGCAAACACAGCTTCTCTGTCGACCTATCCTCTGCCATTTGCACCTTACCGACATACCCCAAGAGAATGCCCCTACCATGTTGAAGTGACGCATCGCCCTGTGAATTGCTATTGATCCTATTGACATATTTACCCTTCCTCGACGCCTGTTATGTAGGGTAAGGCAAGAAACAGTTTGAAAAAAGCTTTTGTTTTCGAACAGTTAAAGCGCTCTTTTGTTTGGACTATCTGGAAAGTTTTGCTTCACTATGTAATTCCATTGAGTTGAATGTCGTAAACGGCCAACAAACGATCAGCTAGCTATTTACCGTTGTTTCTAGCGACCTGGGTGTTGTCGTTAGTATTGTTGCCTGCGTTTGAGTTGCCATCGGGGGAAGATGGGGCATTGTTCGAGTCAATGGTAGCCAGCATCATCTGGTCGGGGGTTGGGGCCAATACAAGCGCTTTTTCGTCCCCAGGCGCCACCGTCGGTATCGTTCCGGCACCCCCGCTTCCACCGCCGCCACTACTCCCATTTGGCACTATCACGGCCCCAGCTCCGCCCCCGTTGGCTACGCTTCCCCCTGAGCCAGCTCCGTTTAATTTGCTATGCCAGCTCGGCTGATCAGATGCCTGAAAGTGCGAGAAACAATAAATAGCTTTGATTAGGTTAGGTTTAATAATTACCGGCTGATCATTATTGTTGTTCTCGAGAGGTTTCACCTGAGGTGCAGCAGCTCCAGACGAAGCGACTCAGTTTTTGCTATGTGTAAATATGATAGCATTTGCAGGATGAGTGTGAATATGACAGCATGAACGTTACGGCTGTTCATGAAAATGCATGTTGTAACTTCAGACACACATGTTACAAAATTATAACTTGTAGTTAGATCATGGATTTTCAACATGCATCAACACATATTGCGGCAAAGAATAAAAGGTATTTCTTACTCAATTGTTTGTACATACCACACACTGTAATCTCATAAGTCGACTACTGACATTTACTTTTTTTTTATTTATTTATTTATTTATTTATTTATTCTTGCTCTGTTTAGACATGATAATTATAGTTACTGTAATGATAATTATTATTAATACTATAAATTCCCATCGTGTTCATCCTCAGTAATCACGATTTCTATCCATAATGTAGGACATTTGAACTCCACCCCACATGGCGCACGTAAATTACATACACAAAAAACCGAACTGTTTCTAGGCTAAGTGCAAAGGTACGACCTGCTTATGCGCTCGTCGCACGGAGCAGTTCCGTAGGTTGATGCTATTGACAGTCAGACACTGTTTAGCACAGAAGTATTATAACGATTTCACTAACTGGTTTGCTTGGCTGCTGCCACATCAGTATATAACAAAAAGAAAATCGCAGCTGTATAACTCTGTTGGCTGAACGTACACAGTTCTTCTGGTTGCCGCTAGATGGCAATAGAAGTCTTCAAATTTACGCCTCATCCTCCATCTTTTTCTACCTGCTACGGAAGCGATCGAAAAATAGCCGTTTGTCTAGCCGTGACGTGAAGAAACACACAACACAGCATCTTTATTGTTATCTCAGCCTTTAAAGAAGGCTCATGTCGATTAAGGCACAAAACACTAGCGAGGTCCTTGTCCCTCGTCGTCTCGAAATAGGCAGATAGCAAAAAAGACTAAGAAAATTAAAAGAAGGAATATTTAGGAAATTGTCCGTAGCACCAGCTACTTATGTGCCCTAAGCATGCGTTAGATGAGCCGACAGCCAAGTAAAGCTCATATATTCTCAGACCTGAACGGGAAATTACGTGCGGTCATCAAAAGTATGCAACCAGCAACATACGAATATTAGCGCGCCCAGGCGGAGATTAGAAGGCGGAAGTCAGTCAACAGCAGCGAAACGAAATCTTTCTAGGGCATCGACGTGTGCGTCGGCCCAGACCGATAGCAGTCTTCGCGGCCTAGGTGAGGAGCCGCGAAAGCAAAACGATGCCTTTTGACGCAACCAGTCAGAAAAGTCTGATGATACGGAGAGAATAGACAGCCAAAACGAGGAAGCCCACAGAAACGGGTCCGAAAAAAAAGGATAAAAAAGAAAACAAAATGTATTATTTTACTTAGGCTCAATTGTGTGGAGGGAAACGACCTTGTTACATTGGCTTTACATATCCAGAGAAGGCGTAGAAACATCGTTGTGACTGTGTTTCTATATCTCGCCTTTCTCCTAGTTAAACTGTAGAATGTGTAGATAGGCTGGACAGAACTATTCGGCAAGATCAAGCCAATTGTTAACTCCACTGAGTACAGTTCCTACCGACGCGGGCTATACGTAGATACGTGAACAAACAGTTGTGAGCGAGCGTTCTGGACGTCTTGTTTACTGCAGTGTTACCACCACATCACCAGTAAATCGTATTACATCAGCTTCGAAGACAGCCGTTAATTGAGTCTACTTTATCATATATATGCCTATACCGATAGGAACTTTGCGAGATGTACGTACGTACAGCGGACCCGTTTGCTTATCTATCAATGCCAAAATAGGCCAATGGTGCATTAGAAGACTTGAAGCGATAACGCCAATTAAGATGACGGTAAACATTTCATACGTTTCAACCAACATAGGTAAGCAGCACCGGTGCGATCGAAGGGGGCCCAACAGCCTAATAGCCCAGTGAGAAAATTTGACGACGCTTTCGCTGTTAAAGGACAAAAATCAACAAAGGACAAAAAAAAGCATCGCCTATTCGTTGCTATTGGTCGTGATTTCTGGCGATGTGTTTGCTATCGGCCGAAGAAGTTTTAACAACGTTTAATTTCTTAAGTGCAATGCTTCGAATGCACGGCTTTTACAGTGAAAGAAAAACACCTTTAGTGAAAAACTCGCAATCGTTTTAATGTATGAACTAATAGCGGTAACCATTTCTATGGCCGAAGATAGCTAGAGAAACATTATCATACCGGCTAGGTTAGCCGTCGACGGTAGGCGCAGGATGCAGTTTTCTATAGGTGATACATTGTTGCATTTGTTATACAACAACACTCAAATGGATGCATAACATATGTTATCACTGCAATATATGACTACTTTACGCAATCTAAATCATATGATGCACCGCATCTTTGCAATGCAGAGGCTCGAATAAGGGCCACTAGTAACAACGAGTGATAAAGAACGCATCGTTTTTACTTAAGGGTACTCTTCACAGGGCCTTCTAAGTTCCGGGACCGTTCGTGCGTCTCAGTCACCGACTGTATTCAATACGAAGAACAGCTCTCTCTCTTATGATTATGGTAGTGGATACCTTTAATACGTGCCAAATGAACATTCGTGTAATTGTGCTATCACCGTCGTGCAGACAACAGCAGAGATAGGCAGCTCTATCTATTGTATGTTACTAACTCTACATACTCTCTTCTAGTCGGCAAAGCTCCTGAGGTCCTGCCGACCACAACAGCTAGCAGCTATCAGCGGCCGGGACTCCAACTAAGCGTGAGCAGGCGCTCGAAAGTTGTTGAAGCCCCCAACAACAACAGGTCAACTGGCGTATATGTCCACTTGCGAGCCGGAGGGTTTGGACACGTTTAACAAGAGGGTCAAGTGATTGGAGCAGACTTCAACACTCCAACACAGCGGAGACACTGCACGAAGGCATGCGTGCTCGATGCTGGGCAAGCGGATTAGCATGCATACATCGTTGTTCGTAAAATGCATGCATACATCGTAAAAATGTTTATGTTCCAAAAGAACACAAAAGACTGACTGAATAGGAAGAAATGGCAAAGCCCGAAATCCGTCTTTGCCTCTGGGCGGCGGCCCACCAGAAAGGGTGGCAATTATTTCTTGTAGAAGAAAGTTGTTCGTGACACTAACGTAATTATCGTATGCCTACAGACTCACGTAGGTCAGTGGCTGTGACATGAACAGAATGTCTTAGAAGAAGAACCTACAGCACATTTACATGACCTTCAAATCAGTATAATTATATGCGCCGAAACTCGGCGCATTACCATGTAAAGCGACGCAGGAGAAAACAAGCAATCGAAAACGTACAATACGTGAATATAGAAAATATTAGTTAACAGCGAAACACAAGCAGCTCTTACAGATGTGGTGATCATAGATGCAATCGGGTTGCATATCGTTGGCCGAGGTTTACAGTGTTACTTTTAATCTAGATATAAATGCCAATTCAACTGGTTGGACGTAATCGTCAAATAGAGCGCCCGTCTACCTCGAAAAGACCTTACAGAATATAATGAAAAAAAAACAACCTGTCAGCCAAATTAGTCTGAAACCCACTACCCTCCCTGTATCCCAATCATCCATGCAAATTCTAATGTTATCCCTTGAATCTTTCCCACACAGGATTTCGACGTTTGGCTAGTTTGGTATATCATTATATACATTAAAATACCACTACAGCAGCTTCTTAGAGCTCGTTGTTTGTATCAACGACGTTTGGGAATATTAACTGTATTAACAATACAGTTAATATTATCGTGCGACACTCCATGCAAACAACAGCTTTCTTTTTCTGTTGTTCTACTCGTTTCTACAAATTCTGGACCTACTCCTCGGATACGTGAGCTAACACTTCAACACATAAATCTAACAGTCTGTTCGAGCAGGACGACCTTGGAGCCTTTCTGTTACTAAAGCGAACCATTTTGAAGGCCGTTCGCCCTGCCTGCACATTTTGTTTCATTTTCTAACCCGTCCTAGACAACCCTACAGCTTTCTATATATTCCAAGGCCACCGGCAACAGCAACAAAACACCGGATAATTTCCGTGGGCCTATTGATCGTTTGATCGTACGGGAACCGGGTCGGGCTTGGGGAAATTGCAATAGGGAAAATATCGAATCGATACACATTTCACTAAGCAGAGGAGTCGAATTTTTCTATGTTCCCGCTTCGTGTCGACTGCTGCCACCTACTCAGCCGATGATTTCATCGCATTTATATTTTTACCGAAGGAAAAGACGTGGTACGATTTCAGTGGCTGCTCTTGTCACGGTTGGTAGGCTTGTCACCGTGTTTAACAAACTGCCAGACGATTGTAGCACACAATTAGAAATGATGAAATGGCAAAGGCAGTCAACGAAGGTAAGCCAAACTGAGACGTATATATTATTACTTCCATTCTACGGAACTGTTCCCGTCATGTGTCAATAGCCGAAACTAGTTACGGAAACAACAACGAGAAAACAGCCAGCAATAGCTTACGGCCTCATATACACATTCATTTACATCGCAGCCGGTGCAGAGAAGTATTTCAGACAGAGCTGTTACCTTTCTTGGGCCCATAGCGTAAGGAGGTTACTGCACCCTGCCTTCTTCAAGGTGTTATTTCGTCACTGGTGACCATCGTCAAAGTAACTGTCCTTGGTATATCGATGTCTGCGGTATGACAGCGAGACTAGCAGTCACCGCGGCTAAGGTAAATGGCGCTAGGGCTTTGTTCCTTTTGTCCTGCTTAGCTCAGGCTAGCTGAGATGTTCTGAAAGCTAGTGGAGCATGCAGCTGGCTCACTGAACGGCATTAGCGACCAGCTTTAGCGCCGTAAGTATCGAGATTACACGAGAAAGACATCGAAAGCAGCACTAGCCTTATGTACCTATGTCGAATTACTTACGGC